ATCAAGCTGAAGTCAAAGTGACTGAAGAAGTTGATGATGATAAAGTGGAACCAGCTGAAGCTTGAAGATGGTATTCTTCTCTGGAGATAGGAAAGTGACGACCTGGCAAACAGTTATACCAAGAAAGTTACTGAAAGTTGTGCTGCATCAATCCCATGATAGTTTAACTGGAGGACATCTTGGAGTTAAGAAGACATTGAGTCACCTACAGCAAAGATTTTACTGGATAGGTATGAGGCAAGATGTGGAAGAATGGTGCAGGTCATGCAGTACATGTTGTGCTAAAAGGGGACCCAAGCATTAGGGAAGTGCTCCAATTAAGTTATATCAAGTTGGCGCACCAATAGAACAAGTAGTCATTGTCATTGCTGGTCCTTTGCCCCAAACTCGTGCTGGGAACAGATACATTTGTGTGGTGATGGATTACTTCACCAAGTGGCCTGAGGCTTATGCAATACCAAATCAGGAAGCTACAACTGTAGCTTCGGTTATTAGTGATTTCTTCTTCTTCCGGTTTGGTATGCCATACGAACTACATTTGGATCAAGGCCATAACTTTGAATCATCTGTGTTCCATGAATGCTGCAAGTTGTTTGGCATACGAAAGACCAGAACAACGCCACTCCACCCACAGTCTGATGTGATGGTAGAAAAGTGCAATTAGACACTGGGACAGGAATTGGCAAAGTTTTGTAATAGCCGCCAAGATGACTGGGATGTCTTACTCCCTCCACTGTTGATGGCTTATAGAACATCAGAGCATGAAGTCACTGGATACACTCCAGCAAAGCTGATGTTTGGTCGGAAACTTCGGTTGTCAGTGGACCTGATAACAGGATGCCCACCTTATGAAGAGTTGCCTGAATATGTGCCAGAGTTCGTGAAAGTGTTATCTGAAAGGATGGATGATATTCACCATTAAGTGCGTTCAAACTTGTAAACGTCTGCTGATTCCATGAAGCTATGTTATGATAAGAGATCTACTGAAGTCAGCTTTGTACTAGGAGACAAGGTGTGGTTGTATAATCCCAGGAAGACCAAAGGGAAGTCTCCTAAGTTGTCTTCTCCATGGGAAGGCCCATATGACATAGTGGATTGTCTCTCAGACATGACTTTCTGAATAAAATGTGATAGGCGATGTAAGCCAAAGGTGGTGCATGCCAACAGGCTTTGTCGTTATCACGGTCCAGGACATTTCAGTTGGAACAAAGTGAACAATAGAACAAATGACGCTGATGAAGACGTGTCACCTGAAAAGGCCACTGTCGAAGAAGAAACTCTACCCGGTTTTGAGAAGCCCTTAATGAAGTTACTACCACTGATGTGACTGTTACCGATAACAGGACATTTCCTGATGGAGCAGATGAACCCCCCGTGAAGCAGAAGCCAGTGAGACGGAGACCAGTACGAAAGAAGATGCATCCTGTAAGATAAGAGACTTTGTTGTATTTTAATTTTGCGTTTGTAAATTCTGTACATTTAATGTAAGTGGCTATTGTTCTGGATGAACAATACTAAGGAAGGGGCAGTGTTACGACAGTGGAAGTCACGTGACGCAGGTGGCGTGTGCGAGGAGTTTCTCGAATGATCGTGAATTTCCTAGTTTGTTCGGGAGGCCCTCTTTTCTAGTATATAAGCCCGGCAAATAGAAGTCAGGGAAGAGATAGATCGAGGAGATTGTTAGAAAAGATATGCGGATAGATTGAAGATATAGATAAATGAGTCAAGCGAACAGTAGGCACCATGAGTAAAGTGTGTGAATCACTGTGTATTTTTTTTCGTGTGTTATAAAGGTTGTTAAGTTTAAAGTGACTGTGGAAATTCTGTCTATTATAAAAAGTTGTATCAAGAAATAATAAACTAATTTTAATTAAGAAAGGACTTGTATCGCTGAAGATTGAAGATATAGATAAATGAGTCAAGCGAACAGTAGGCACCATGAGTAAAGTGTGTGAATCACTGTGATTTTTTTTCGTTTGTTATAAAGGTTGTTAAGTTTAAAGTGACTGTGAAAATTCTGTCTATTACAAAAAGTTGTATCAAGAAATAATAAACTAATTTTAATTAAGAAAGGACTTGTATCGCTGAAGTTCGTCGGAAAGAATTTATACCAGAAATTAATAAACGAGCAGATACCTAACATAATCATTTAAATCAGAACTTTCCTACTGTAAACGTTGCTATTATTCTAAAGTAAAGCTAAACGTATTTGTAAAACTTCACGGCTGATCGATTAAGTACTTGAATATACGCAATAACTAACACCAATCCAAATACTTCGCTAAAAGTAAATGCTTTACTGAACTAAACTGACTGACTCATTACTCATTGACTGTTTACTGCTCACCGAAATAAAAAAAAAACAAACAAACTGATTCTCGTACTTATAATCTAATGTTGTTTCGAGATACCATACTTTCGTGATGTCAGTTAGAACATTCTAAGGCTACTCCCACAAACTTAGTTAACCTTAAAACAATAATTTACAATAAATGAGGTATTACCACCTCACGATATAAAATGGTAAATATTAGAAAAGCTGATATAGCAAATGCCTTGTGATAAGTATCATATTAAAATATAATAATGACAAGCATATCCTTACATTAGAATGTTCCAAAGGCCTAAGACAGTATCTTACATCAGATGACATTCTAGAATCTGGTATAGGAATAAAATTTTGAGGAAGGAAATTAAGTATACAGTTACTTGTACGTTAGTCTTAGTACAATTATCGAGGAATTTCCATTGAAACGTTATTAGTGTAATAGTCCTACATTTAGTTACAGAGTTTATGTTGAAAAGTATGTATTTGAATTTAGACCTATAGACTATAAGTGAATAGCTGTAGGATACATTAAATAAGAAATCAATATGTTATTGTTTCATGGACTGGATCTCGCTTATTTTTACCAAATAATCTAAAACGAACCCACCGAATGTTAAACATGTTATTACAATATTAAATGTTATTAAACTATATGTTTTTGAATAATGAAGTACATGTGAGTTAGTTGTTTTAGCTTTAATTTTTTGTGGAAATCGTCCCCAGATGGGACAGCGGTAAGTTTTCGGTAGTTACAACGCTAAAATCAGAGGTTCGATTCCCCTTGGTAGACACAGCAGATAGTCTGATCTGGCTTTGCTATAAGAAAACACACACAGTTGTAGAAATCACGTATGGTTGGAGAGAGCGAAGACGTACATAATGGTGTTTGTGCATGGTTACAACTGCACATCAATAATAAAATTGATGGGATTTTTAGGTATAAGCATACTTGTATCACTTAAATTATAAAAACCAAACAAATTTACAATTTCTAGAGAAGAAAAATGGTCCAGATAAGCAGTTTTAAAACTAGTTTTGAACTGTTAATTTGAAATCGTTGACAAAACTTTGTTTAAATAATTCAAGTTCACTCCAACACACGTTGTTAAAGTTTTACAAGAACGAACTAAAGCATGCTATAAATAATTAATGTTCACTCCAACTCACATTGTTAAAGTTTTACAAGAATCAACTAAAGCATGTCATTCAGATAATATCAAGAGAGAGCTAAACTGAATTGCACAAGCATGTGTGTGCTCGTTTCTTGTGGATAATGGCCTAGGCTTATGCCACATATTCTTTTGAACAATCAAGATAAATAAACTCATTATTTAATTTCTGTAGTGCATATTGGTGTATAAAAAACATATTAATACTAGAAATAAACAACCTTATAACACCAAAATGTTGTTTTTATTGAACACTCAAAGTTTTGAAGCTGTAAAAATAAATTAACTTATAAGTAGATCACACATCAGCATTATAGGCTTTGCCAAATTGTGCCAAAAATAATAGAATAAGATAAAGCTGACACTTGAAGTATTCAATAATGTGTAGTAGCTTAATTATGTTACAGCACTTGCCTTGTAATTGTAATGTTCTATGTTTGAATCCTGCTTAATCTCAGTATTCACAGCTTAAGAAATATTTCTGACTTTTTGATAAACATTTTTGTAGCAAAGGTTTAAGTTTTTGTAAAAAAAAATCCAAACCTTTGTATACTTTGTATATTTGTCTATCTCTATATATACATTAGACAGGGATGCAATTCTCAAACAAGAAATAGAGGTACTCAGCTGGGTGAAGTGGACTTATTTTTGAAAAAGAAAAAATCTATGTGTAAACATAAAAAAACAACAAAGCAGCTCAAATAAGTCCTGGTACTAGTACTGCCTTAAAAAATAAATTCTGGTATCAGTACCGGCAGAATTTCACCCCTGTATACGTATGTAGATGCAAACACACTTCGCTTTAATGTTGTATACTGTGTACATTAGAATTACAGTTACCATAAGAACAGGAAACTGCAAGACGTGTAATATGGGAGTCTTATCCAAAACATTCATGGAACATGTTATTAAAGAAACCAGAACTAATTATTTATTTTTAGATAATTTTTTTATGCAACAAAGTATAACTAGTAGAAATATTATAACTCCAATTAACTAAAACTAACAAAATTAAAAGCAACTGCTACAAAACTTTACAAATAAGCATTATATTCAGAAATGTAACAATTACCAAACATGTGTCTAGCCCTAATGTTATAATTGCATAAATTCTATTAATGTTACTTCAATATATTGTTAAAACTTATTCTTGTAGTTTTTACTATTTCTATTTTATAAGAAGTCCATCCACAAATTATTCTCTTTTCATTATGAGTTCCCATATTTCCGAAACGCAGTATTTTCGTGTATCTATAGTCACACAAATATATATATATACAGGTCAACAATGAATATTGTAGTTGTTTAGATGTCTAATTGATTTTAAAGACACATTATGTCTAGTTGACAAGTTTTCCATGGTGGAAAATGTTTTGTGATGTATATAAACAATAAAATATGTATGGTAAAATTCATCCTATCACCATCAATTTGTGTATTTGTTTAAGATCAAATATATTAATAAACTTTTCTTTCTCAGAATTGAAATAAACTTATCAAATGAGTAATAACAAGATTAAAATATATAGATTCTCAAATTTGGTATGATATTCCTTTTTTTTTGAGTAAAAAATGAAGTAATAAGTCAGAATTTTGAAATAGAAGTTGTATGTATGGAATATAGTTCAACTTTTTTTTTTCCAGTAATGGTGAAGAAATAGCAACATTATCTTCAAATACTTCAAAATTAACACGCAAGGCAACACTTTCCTTACTGCGGACTATTGTCATCTTGACTCAGGGGCTCGATCCTCTTCCAGATAATGCATATCTGACTATGAAAGTACTTTACTATGATGATAGTATGTAAATATGTCATAGGCACTGATGTGTGTTTACAGCTGTGGGATTTGATTAATCAATATAATTTATTATCTATGAGCAGTAATTACATTAATTAAAGTCATTTAAACTAATTGATTAATTGAAATTTATGTTTCTAATTATTACTGTTTTAATTATATCAACAATAGGTAAATCCAAACTACAATGAAATTGAATATCATGAAAATAGTCAACTAATCAAAATTAGACTTCCAGATTATTATTGTTTTTAATCATTCCAACAAACAATTAATCAAAATTGTGATTAATAAAAAAGCTGTCACAAAAAAATTAACTAATCAAAATTAGAGTACTTTATTGTCACTATTTTTTATTATATCAACTATCCATATGATTGAAATATTGCTATTATGTCTATTTATTAAGCACACAAAGCTAATTTGATCATGATGCTTTTGGATCTGTTATTTAGAAGAATAATATACAAGATATTTTTTAGGACTTAGAGTATCATAAAATATGTATTAAATCATATCAACCTGTTACTACAGTATTGGTTTATAAATAAAAAAATGTACCAAAGTGGAAAATATCTTCAAAACTTATATTTACTGTATTTATTAATATTTTTGTTTCTTCCCCTAAACAAATCCTATCTTGCATTGCTGGCACCTCAGTTTTTTATTTGCACATCTACACATACTCTGTTATAAAGTGCTGCTTCTTTTTTTTATTGTAGTTACACCACCAGATTATCAACCTCCTGGGTTTATTAATTGTGATACGGACTGTTTTTTCTTTAAGAATACACCCATTTGTGTGAAAGTTGGAGATGTTTCAACACCATTTCATACGTAAGTAACTTAAAGGTATATCTTATTATAATATTCAACATTTTCTGTTTAAATGCTTTCAGTTATATTGTGTTTTATAAAATATATGAGTGATTGCTCATACTGTTACGTCTCCGTTTGTTAATTAATTTTCCGTAACTACGTTCCGACGAAACTTTAGCGACACAAGTCCTTACTTAATAAAACTGGTTTATTCTTTCCGAATATAACTTTACGATACACTTATTTTCAACAATCGCTCTATAACAAATGCTATATCAACGAATGTCAACAATACTTCTGACTGCAGTTCAATTACTCACTATCTACACACACATTACATTACTGTCACGTTGTCACCCTCTTTTATATACCA